TTACCATAATTAATATTATTTAAGAAATATAAAATAAAATTTGTTTAATGGCTATTATTGGAGTAACGTTACTTTCATAATAAACTTTTTCATTAGTTGATTAATCAACAAAGTTTTGTTTTATAAAATCTTCATGATTTTTAATTTAATTAATAATTAATTACTTCAGAATGAGAAGATCATGTAAAAATGTAATTATTAAAAGGTAAATAACTCGATTTTTTTTTTGTGAAAAATAGATTTGCTTTATTTTTACAGCTTCAACTGAATCTTGCGGACCAATTTGTATAATAAGTGTATTTGGAGCTGCCACATTCGTTATACTTGTCATCTTTGGTTTCTTTGTAACATTGAAATACAGGTAAAACTTATTTTCTTTAACTAGAAGTATCGAACTTTGACGAGTTTTCGAACAAATTATTCTCTCTCTCTCTCTCGTGTCTAAATGGAATATAAAAAAGAAAAACAATATTTCAAATCGTTTAATAAAAAATGGCAGTTAAAAAGTTAAAACTTCAAACAATGTTAATATTTAAGAAAAGATTTTATTGGAAAAAAACTTGAACGAGTGCTTCTTTTTTTTTTTTAATGACTTTTCAATGATTTCCATTTTATATTTTCGTTTCTGTATATCCAATGTAAAGAAAGTTTTCTGGAAAAAGTATTGAAAATGCATAAAGTAAAAAAGTGCACTTGGAGAGAATATCGATTGGATAGGTAAATCGGGTATAATAGAAAGAGAGTGAGTGAGTGAGTGAGTGAGTGAGCGAGTGAGTGAGTGAGTGAGAGAGTGAGAGAGTGAGCTGATAGTTGGTGTCATATATTAGGAAACATTTGCACGAGTCAAGTGGAATGTGTGTATGCTCTGACATATGGATACTTTAAGTGCTAAACGAAAGATAAGTTACAATCCACGTTATATTATTATGTGAATAGGATTAATATAATCGTCTCATTTTTTTAGTTTTAACTAATTCCTATCGTACATGACAACAAAAGATTAGTTTTAAAAAATTTCCCCCAAAAAAAAAAGAATATTATTGATTTTTATATCCTAATACCCCAACCCCAAACCTCTATTCTATTTCATGATTATTTCATGACGCGATTCTTTAAATTTTATTTATTTATGAATGTAATATCATGAAGGGAGGGGTTGTGCTTAGGGACGAGAAGAGTTGTGGAATTTGGTATTTGCGTTAATGAAATTTTGAATTTTTAATGCTAATTAATAATAATAATAATAAATGGAATATATTTTAATATAAAATATATATTTTAAAATATATAATATATTATAATATTAATTATAATATATTAAATATTATATTATAATTATATTATAATATTTAATATATTTAATATATTAATAATTAATATAATATATAATCTATATATTATAATTAATATTATATATATATATATTAAATTATATATATTATAACATATATATTTTATAATTATATATATTAATATAAAATATATATTTATTTCGTCTTTTACAAATGATTTTTTTTTTTACAGTTCTATTATCTCTTTATGCACAATGTGTTATCAAGCATGTTAAAACGAACATTAATTTTTACCTTTTCTCATTTTCTATGCTTACCCAACCCTTTCTTTTATTTCTTTTTAATTTTTATTAGCCATTACAAAACACCTCTTCTTGTTCTTCTCTTTTTTTTATCTTATTATCTTTATACTTCTCATCTTTTTAAAATTTACTTTAGGGATATAAATGAAAAAAAAAAAAACAAAACAAAAAAATATGTCAACCGTGTTTTATCCAACCGGACATTTCTAACATTTTTCTTCATTTTTCTCTCTATCCGTCTCTCTCTCTCCCCCCTCTCTCTTTTTTTTAATTTTTCTTCTCTTTCTTTCACTATCACCCTCATCCCTTTCAACTTTTACAACAAAAGAAGAGACGAGATAATAAAGAACAAAACGAATGGAAAAAAAAGAAAGTTACCAAAAAAAAAAAAAGAAAGGTGTTCACGAGAATTTCATTTGTTTTTTTTATTTTTTTTTTTTCTTATTTCATACTTTTATGAAATACCTACTATCTTGTTCCGCGAATAAAAACGAAAATGAAATAGAAGAGAGAAAAGTTTGGAGGACCTTTAACCCTTTCTCACCCCAACCCCCCACCCCACCACCCTACCCCTCCTCATCTTTTCTCCTTTTATGTCTGCATAACTGTGATTCCGAGATCATAAAAAGTACAATTACTTAAAGATATGCTCGTGCAAATGAATGTTTCCTGGGCAGAAGGGTAGAG